GCTTGGAATAGGGACCATGAATCTGAAAAAGCGTCGATCCTCCACATACAATGGCATGTTGATACGGCGCGTCCTCATACACCATTAGTGAGAACATCTCTGAAGAGATCATTCATACGATTACATCGCACCACATTCAAACAATTTTTTCTCGAGCCAAGCTCGAGTGCATGGCGCAATCTGAAGTGAGGCTTTCCAAAAGTTTAAAAATTCTTATAGAACTCGACGAGCTGAAATCAATGCTTTTTTCAGATTTCGAAAATCTTAATTCTGAAGCGAGTTATAACGAAAAAACGAAAAAAGAAACGCGAATTTGCGTTTTTCGCGTGTTTTTTTCGATTTTTTACGGCGAGTACCGTAGTTTTCCACATGGTTAGACTCATTTGACCCTGCTTTGGGGGGAGTTATGAAGGGGCGACGCTTTGCGACGCTGCAAATCCGTCGCTCAGCGGAGAAATTTCAAAAGTTAGTGGCGGTATTGTACGCTTATAATACGCAAAAGATTGGTAAAAAAAGCGTTCCACGTCCTTAACGACCTTCTTTTTGTGTGCAAGAGGAGCATGAGGCGGGATAGCGCAACAGATGAGAGACATTAGTCGGCTGGGTCGGGAAAAAGTAAAGCTGCCGGAGTTATCCTTGCAAGGCCCTGGCGCCGCTTCAGGCCACTTCCATGCTCGAGAGTGCCACACCTGTCATTGTCTTGTGGGAGTATATCCTACAGATCGAAGATAATCGTTCCCGTGACTTCTGCATGGATTGTGCATTTATGTATACTGATGAAGTTGCTATGCGCAACTGCTTATTCTCAAAAGGTGGAGAAGGATGAAAAAAGTGTTGCTCAACAATCACGCGTAAGATGTGTTGATTTGACACAAAATACAACATAACTCCCCTTCAAAAAGGCAGAAAGTGTCGGGTGCAGACCATACACCACAAGTGACGACGGCCTCCACAAAATGCAAATGTTTTTGCCAATGAAATGATTAGCCTGTTGCAGTTGTATTCTATCAGTTGACTAATTACAACTACTATCATTTACTAAAAATCAGCTATCACTACCACTACTAACCAGATTTACTTGGAGGCCGTCGTCACTTGTGGTGTATGGTCTGCACCGCACAATTTCTGGCTTTTTGAAGGGGAGGGTACATTCACGAGCGGTGAAGCAAAAAGTGGACATTTTGCCCAGGTCGCTCCTCAGCGACATCCGTCGCAGATTGCAGACGTTGACGGACGTTTTTCAGTGAAGTGCTCTTCAACTGTCCCTTTATAAGTAGACGCAAGCCCTCCTTCACTGCCCTCACCGTCTTCAGAATATGACGTCATCTGTCACCGTCGTCGAGCTCAGGGAGGACCTACAGTAACTGCTCCAGCCTGAAGCTCTTACATAATTTCTTGGAACGATTCACTGTTGGATGTTTTCTAGAGGTTCATGTTCCCTAAATATGCAAAGTCCCTCAAACCTGCTTCTCAGAATAATTCGTAATGGTACGTTATCCGTCGAGAGCCCATTGAGCTCGACCAGTGCACCATGTTTTCCAAAGCAAATTTTTCTGATGCCGTCCTTGCAGAAGGTCACTATAAAGTTTTTTTTCTATAAAATGAAATGTGCTTTTGGGCTGGCATCATCCGGTTTGTGTCCAACGAGTGTGAGTAAACAAATTTTGGGGCTTGCCTGCTGCTATCCACAGCATAATCTCCAATTTTCAGAGTGAAAAAGCGTGAGCCCTTACTTTACGAACACCAGCCAGGAAAATCTCAAGAGCGGACCACACAAACGATCAACAAGAAGGTGGTTAGTGTGCGGGGTACGGTGTAGGGTTGCTCCATAGGTAATATGGCCAGGGATCAAAGTGCCGTCGCTGAAATTTTCTGTGACATCCACTTCGCTGTTTTTTCTTTGCGTTTTTGGTCGTGCACCATTTCCGCAAAGAACAAACCGCGAGGTGGATGTCACAGAGTCTGAAGGAAACAAGGTAAGGAAGATTTTGGCGCAAATTTGGCGTAAATTAGAGCCATCTGGAAAAATGGATGTATTGTGGTTAGAGCACAGCATATTCCTTAAAGTAGAAGTTTAAGAAAAAATTGAGATTTTGAGCCAGTTGAAAAATTGGCCATCGACAGGTCGGTCAGTAGCCCATGGGGTACTCCAGCCAGCGATTGGAAAATGAGTTTCCTCGTAATCCTCCTCCAATAATAAGAAATTCCACTACAGAATAGATAGTGGCAGGCAGCCAAGCTGGTGATGGGAAACAGCACCCGCATGAGTTGAAGTCGACAGATTCTTCTTTCCTTCAAGACGTGATATGTTGGGTCCTCGGCTCCTCCACTCGTAGGGCCTCATCTCCATAGCTGGAGCGATTTCAAGGACAGGGACGTGGTGTTAGATGTTCCATATAGCATCGAGCTTTGAATTCTGGGAATTGTCGGGTGTTCCGCTTGATTTCCGCCCCGCGCTCGTCTTGAAGTCGCTTGCTAGCGTGCATTTGGCCTGTGGCCCATGGATCACCTCCTTTTTCGAAGTTAGGTCAAAATCTCGATTTTCGTCGAAATTTTGCCCATAGGAGTAAAGTCAGGTGCTGAGCACGGTTATGGCGTCCTTTTTTAGCGTCGGCGCTTTTCGTGTCGGCGATATTTTGCGCCAGTTCGACGCTGCAGCTTTATTCTGTCATTTTCTGAGTAGACCCATTGCCAGGGGTTGCTGATGAACCTGATTGTGAATATAACGTTATTTCTGATGAAGCAATATGGAGGTGACAATCAAAAATGCAAAGCTCTGCCGTTAAGCGAAGTCGAACCTCAAAGCCGCTTGACCACTAGACCACTTCTAGTGATAAGATGTCAATAACGATTTTGAAACTTCCCCACTTTTTCTAGCTTTACCACTGACAGTACTTCAATTTTGGGCGAATTTCACTTGTTTTCGATACCATCTTTATCAGCACCCTTCAATATGCAGGTGATCTTCTGTACAAGTCCGAAACGTCACTCCAAAGCTGTAAAAACCGCCCATTCTCAACAATTTTTTCGACCTTTTTTGGCCTTCAGGGGGCCGTTCAGCGAAAATGAAACACATATTGTAGTTCACGCGAGAGCCCCTGCAGCAAAAAAAAACACGTGAAAAACCGTTCCGAAAAAGCGCGACTTGCCCCTGAAAGACCCGCCTTGTTTGACTCCTTTCGAGACTGATCATGGTCAAAAAATAGTCCCTCTGGCCCGTTTCGAGGGATGTGCGGTCCAATTTTTCACAACGCGCATTTTCGGTCTTCAAAGGCGCAGTTTGCGAAGACGTCTAGGAGGGCTCAACGTATAGGTGTTCAGTGCAGCAAAAAACATGCGAAACGGCCTGAAACCGCCTCAGAAAATGGGACCGCTTCTCGCCCGTTGATTTCAGCACTGATGCGTTGCTTATCAGTGTTGCTCTTTTGGACGCAAGGCTTTGTTTTATGGGCGGCTAGGTCGCAGACACCTAGAAGGCGAGTCGATAGCAACGCGTGGACGACTATGCTAGATTGTCGAGGGCGCATCCTTTGCTGCGATTCGTCCTGAAAAATCATCCACGTTAGTTTATTTCCCCGATATTCTCTTTACCATCATTCAAGGGGCAATTCGCTAAAGTGGACACTGTCTCCCTTAAATACGTATGGTCAAGAAACACCGCATACCTTCAAAGCAATATTTTTGCTTCTTATCATCAAATGCGGCAGAAATACCCTAACTATTTTGTTCTATAATATGCCATGCACTCGTCTTTTAATAAAAGTTGCAGAGCACTTAAACGTAGTACCGCTCACCTAATATTGCTACAGCACAAGGTTCCCTGCAATCATTGAGTGAAGCGAGCCTAATCTCGAAGGTACGAGCTTTGATCGCATTTGTCTAACATGTCATGCTGCTCTCGCTCTTTCAGCCAGCGATGTCTTTCACAAATTAAGATCCCCTATAGCATTACTCATCCCTACGCATCCCACTCATGTAAATATCCGCACATACCGTGTTAAAGGCAAACTCCGGGATTGAACTGGTGCTATCAGCGCTCTGTAGTGATAGCTTAGCTGCGGAACGACCTGAAAGTGGAAAGGAAAGCAAGAGAAATCTTTGGAACGCTGAAATTAAGGCCTTAACCTTCAATAAGGTCGGATGTGGTACGATGGCGAGACAGGGCGGTCAAAGACAAAATACGCGAGAGAGCACGTCGTTTGAGAGAGCACGCTGATCTCTACATCAATGCACGCTGATCTCACCACCTCTCGCGGTGGGTGGGAAGCGTTGGAATTGGGTCGATGGTTGTAAGGATTAGCGCCCTAACCGCGCAATTTTCGCGACGAAGCTGGAGTGATCTAGGTAGTTACAGACCTTACAATTTCCCTAGTGGTATCCCTCCTACTAGTCGGGCCAATCCCGGGGTTTGCCTTTAATCATGCGCGTATTACGGCCTACTTCCGTCAGCCAAATACGACTGTTGTCGTTTGACGTTGATCAGCAGACGGTTGAACATGACTTAGAGCAAGTCGAACGAAGCTGAGCAGCTGCCAGACCCCCGTCGGAAAGGACTCTTATTTGAACAACTTGTTCATCACCATGTCTGGCCTGACCCTACAGCTACTGCGCTTTGTTTGTCATTATGAACGCTACGCGTTCGTAGAACGATACAGAAAGGAAGACGTGGCTCATTACAAGGAAACTGGTGGATGCCACCGCTTTTGCATCATTCAGAAGACTACTGGTGCCCTTCCGATCACGTCTCGACTGAGATCCAGGAAAGGAATGATACTGTAGCGAAGGACGGTTGCATCGGGATCGGATTGAATTCACGGAAGCATAGGTTTTTCATGTTGTGACAATGGTCGGCTAGTGGAACATAAATTTTGAGAAGATAGTTTGTCGTGGTATAAGAGTGATATCTTGGCACCCTTATGTACATTCTACACGGGGACCTTGAGAAGTAAAAAGCGTTTATTGGACATAGAATAATGCAGATGATGGGATAAACCGCCTGTTCAGCACGCCTTCAACTTGCTGCAGACATCCTTTGCAGCAGTTCCTGATTCGAGGAATTCCTTGATCTTCGGGATTTTACCATGTGCGATCTGCTGACACTCCATTCCACCAAACGGTAGGAAGCTGAGCAGCTCCGAGCATTGGATTATGAACACCTGGAAGAAATTTACTTACTTGCTCACTCAGGTGGAGAACTATGCTGAATGCTTGCGAAGGTACCTCCTCGTTGAACGTATTAATTACTGCCCCTTTACTTCTCCCAAACCCAATTTTGTTTGTGAAATATTCTTCTGAAATCGGGATAAAGAGAGGACACGTTCCTGCTACCCAGCTTTGAAGAATACTTTGACAAAACCGAACCCCAGCACAGTTTGTTTGGACGGTGACAGGGAAGGTCAAGTGTTAGCTGGTCCAGAGTCGATTAGTCACTTTGTGAGATGCAGCATACATTTCACCCCCCCCCCCCGTAGTTCGGTGTTGCTGCGTGAGTACCAATAAACTCCAGAAACCAACTGATGCGAATGTCAGCGTTCCTACACTTAGAGACAAGCCTGATATCAGTCAATCGTCCATGAAAGAGTTGTAGGCACGGTTTCAATTCTAAAATTCCATCCAGGATTGAACCACGAACCCTGTGCCTGCTAAGTTATGCCACTTACCATTAGATCGCTCCGTCATTTTACGAATTTGTTCTTTACTTATTTCGTCCAATTTCTCTCGCAAATAGTAAACGGAGAAGCCGGCTTCCTATTTAGTTTCAATAGCTATAGGAAAGCAGGAATATATGAAGTTGAGACAGAATGACTGCAAATTTTAACTTCGACCCAGATCCCTTGTATCCTTTGTGTCCGGAGATTAAGAAAGAGATGGCTACTGATACACGAAAGGAGAAAAAACCGGAAAGTGGCTTATGGTTAATCGCTTATTGGAATATGACCCTTCCTTGTCCGTTGGTGCAACTCACATCGGTGCTGCTCCAACGTTAATGCTCTCTCCCTCTACCAAACGGCTAGAGGCTCAGACAGAGGGGGGCACACCGCGACGACAGCGCGCTAATAGCGCTGTGGGGGAGCAATGCCATATCGCCAGGCGCATATCCTTCGATGCAAATTGCGTGTCGACCGCACCCGATGCGAACTGCGTGCCGGCCCGCAACCTTAGGAGATTCGCTTGTCTCTGCACTATGTAAGTTTCCTTTTTTAGAATTTAATCCTTGTCGTGGGATCCTCCTTTAATCAGTCCACATACCTAGCCGATTTTGCAACAAAGGGTTCTGTGAAAGCGTCGACAACGAGTACAGTTCGTCTTTCTAAAGAATTGAAAACCAACGTTTTCAATTTCCGGTAGTGACCTGTCCATCATTTTGACAACTACATTCACTGCATCGTTGCAGAGCGAGCACATCGTTGGGAGTTCATTCGATCTGTGAATCGGTTCGGCAAAGGCGACTACCACGGCGGCTACCAAAATGAGAAGCTTCATTCTGAAAGTGTTCATATTTTTGAGGAAGTCCACCATAAGGGAAAACGCCAAGACAACTGAGCTGCTAGATGTGAATTACGAAGCCTTTGTATTGTGCAACCATTATATAGAGCCCAACGGCATCAAATTTCTTATCATGAAATCAACACTTATGACCAGTTCTCTGAAGGCAAGTACTTTGAGATGAGCATTTCATGGAATTCGTGAAAAATTGCAAAAGTGAAGTAGCAATTGAAACCCTTATCGGCAGCACTAAAGGTACGGTAGACGTGCCTGTCATCTTCACCACAAAACACCAAAAGTGTTCTTTCCATACTCATTGCAAAATGTGAGCGTGACTTGCTACAAACGTGGACAATCACTTTTCCAAATTGTTTTTCGAACACTGTCTACTGACGATAAAAACTGAGCCTCGCTTCACTATCCAGTAGTATCCAGTCGCATCAAACCCTATAATCCTATTTTGCACCTTGATGGTGCTGAAGAAAGAAGTTGGAGATATCGTGACAACCATGAAGTACTAATACATACAGGGGGGGAGGGGGCAAGAAAAGTCACTTTGCCCATGGGGTGCATATCATCAAACTTTTTGTCGCAAAGGATGCCGCTGTTATTGGGAGTTATACGGCAAATTATTCCTTAGATGTCCCCCCATAAGCAGAATCAGGCCCACCTTCGCTGCCTTCACCGTCTCCAGAATATGACGTCATCTGTCATCACCGTCGAGCTCAAGGAGGCCTACCATAATCGCTCCATTCTGAAGCTGCTACATAATTTCTTCAATCGGATAACTGGTGAATGGCTTCTTAGGAGACACTAGCTCTGACTATGCAAGATGGCTTTTGACCAGCGTTTCAGAGACGTCGTAATCGTCTATGGTTTCTCGACGACCTCGTTGAGCTCGTACCGTGAACCATGTTTCCGTGGGAAAATCTTCTGATGTCGTCGGTGTAGAAGGCCCCTATGTAATTTTTTGATAGAATAGAATGTGCTCTTCAATATGCAATTGAGCTCATTCGGTTTGGTTTTGGCAAAGTGTAATTAATTCTGTTTTGAATGTGGATGAAAGTGACTCTTTTTTGGCCCTCCCTGGGTGGCTACGAAGTGTGGTCCGCCAATTTACACTTGCTTGCTAATCTTTGAATCCCTGTTTCAAGTGTGTAATATTTGTCTGGATAGAGCATGTCAAATATGCATTACCCCAAGCTGTCACGACTGGCAGTACTGGCAATACCTCGAAGAAATGTGACCGTCTCCTCATCGTGCCACCATCGCACATTTCATGAACGAAGGACGTTCCGCCGCAGATCGCAAAAAAGCTGCGCATCAACAACGGTGAGAAGAATTGTGCTCAATGAAGGGAGCGAGGACGCTACTTTCCAGGCCGATCAAGAGCTGATAATGTTCCACAGATTCGGAAGACGATCACGAAAAAATCTCCCGCAACAATGACGCCAATATAGACAAGATCGCTTCAGATCTGCATATCTCACGAAGAAGTGTTCAAAACATACTGAGATTTGTACTGGATTTACTCAGTAACTCTTCTTTCGAGGAGAGGTGCTCAGCGAAGCCGCCAAGAGGAATATACTGAAGAACTCTAAGAAGCTTCTGCCAGCAGTTCGTCCGGGCCTCCTATCAAATATCGTCTGGACTGACGAGAGAATCTTCACGGTGAGCTCGCGCACAACAGGCAAACCCAACGGCACTGCTTGGTCCGTCAGAGAAAAAACTCCAGAAAACGATAAAAACCAGGAACTTGCTCCCGAAGTCGGTGATGGTTTAGGCCGGGATAACATCAAGAGACAAGACACTTTTCGTTTTCATTAATAAGAAGAAGAACCTAACAAAATGTTACTTTGAGGGTCACACTGACGACATGAACCCACGAACACTCTGAAGTTTTATTTTGCAACGAGACAGGGCGCTAGCACATGGATCGAAATCTACGATTTCCTTCTGCCAAGGTCATTTTCCTGGATTCTGGAACAGAAGACATATGACTACCTAACCCCCCAGACCTCAATCCTGTAGACTATTCCTTTTGGAGCTATCTGCAGCAGCGAGTGTTTTCTTCTCCCCATCGCAGTTTGGATACTCCGAAAGCAGCGCTTCTGAGGGAATGGCAGAAGATTGATGTCAACTACCTGCGGCCTATTGTAGAAGCCTTTACCAATAGAATTGAAGCTTGCACTGGGGCGCAGAGCAGGCCAAAGGAGACACCGTTTCCTGTATCTAGAACTTGCCATTTGACAAAATTCCTACAGAACTGCATCGTATTTATTTTTGACATACGGTATAATGAACCTACGGATAAATAAATAAATAAATAATGCTAAACTGCGGAAACCTCGAAATTGAGATTTTCCGCTTTTTGTGAGGTACGCTGTGCCGGAGCTGTGACGGAGAGACACCAGTGGCCGGGAACAGATCACAAAGTGGAGCAGTGAAAAAACATCCATCTTTTTCAAACTCAAGTGATTGCTCGGCCATAGAGAAGCGTTTGAAAATCTGGGCACATTTAACATTTCTGCAAACCCCACCCAACTAGCTCTCGCCTGCTAAGCTGCTCAGTGTTCATCATTCGAGGAGTGACCACATGAATCTCCCTACTTGAATCTACTAGATTACTCTGTGCGGAATGTGTTGAAGACGAAAACCTGCTCTCCAATATCATCAAAAGGCTTACGAAATCTATAATCCAGTTCAGAATGCCAAGGGCGCACTCGACTCCGCCTATCTACGCGTCGCGATTGGCGCATTCTTCGCGAAATTTCGCTGCTTCTCCAATCAAAAAGTGGATACTCGAAAACTTGATGTAGTTTTCCGTTGACTGTTCTTCAATAAACATATTTCTACTTTCCATTTGTTTTCTTTTGTTATAGTTGTATAGATTTTCCATGATCACTTCACCTTGTTAATTTGTAGCCACCTTGCATTCACTGACTGCTACGACTTCCTGCAAAATTTGCTCACAATCTACTGATTCTGATAACCGGCATAAGAATAGTGATAAGAAGTCAGCAGCTAAGGAGAGTTCTCATTCAAATGAAAGAATGCTCGTACTTCGACCAGATCGGAAGACAAAGAAGCAGAAATTTTTAGTCCATACAGTACTTCACTCAAAGGCAAACCCCGAGATTAGCCCGACTAGTAGGAAGGGATACCGCGAGGGAAATTGTAAGTCCGTACCTACCTAGATCACTCCAGCTTCGTCGCGAAAATTGCGCGGTTAGGGCGCTAATCCTTACGGGCCTGCAACCATCGACCCAACGCTTCCCACCCACCGCGAGATGTGGTGAGATCAGCGTGCATTGATGTAGAGATCAGCGTGCTCTCTCAAACGACGTGCTCTCTCGCGTATTTTGTCTTCTTTGATCGCCCTGTCTCGCCATCGTACCACATCCGACCTTATTGAAGGTTAAGGCCTTAATTTCAGCGTTCCCAAAGATTTCTCTTGCTTTCCTTCCACTTTCAGGTCGTTCCGCAGCTAAGCTATCACTACGAAGCGCTCATAGCACCAGTTTAATCCCGGAGATCTGCCTTTAATGATACGAGACGGAACGAATACTTGAAATTGTGAGCTGCGACCGCTTCTTTCTGCCTTGGAGGCAAGATCCGGGAGTAGTCTAACTGAGGAAGTTCCTTCCAAGTTTAGAGTGTGTAGTTCGCCTCTGCTGATGTCGCACCACCTTCGCATCTAAAAACGTGTTTCTAAGGCGCTAGGAAGATTAGAAGTTATCTAATCTTGGACGGCTACATTTAAGAATTTGTCTGTACTTAGACCCTTTATCAGTACATTAAACACAGTGTGGTCTTAACATTGACAATATTCTTATCGCGGCTATAACGCCATTGGAATGGATGAATCACTGGCAGTGAAGAAGTTAATGAGCCGATTTCCTTCAGAACGACTTCTGTAAACAATACCACTGGAGAGTTTATAGAGTGCAATATTGACGTCACACATGGTGACGCTGGAGATGAAAATGTCGGGGTAAAATATTTCTCAAGTTTTTGTATTAGATTGTCTCAAAAGTTCGTGCGTATTTTTTGGATCTAGCTCAAGCTCCGTCGGCAAGTTCTAGTGATGTTTATGTAGGCTGTGGAGAGGGCACTACGTGTAGTAACCTAAAACCGAATTACGTCCACCCTTGTCACCTTTTTTCCAATTCAAAGTGAGAAAAGAAAAGAGCCATGTTTTCCACGCTCTGACTGAAGAACTTGTAACCTTCCCCGAACCGATCAAAACCAGAGATGGGATTTTAGAGAACCTGTAGAACCTGTAGAACTGTCACTGCAACCTGTAGAATCAGAACTACCTCAACAAAAAAGCCTGTACTCTCAAGTCACCAGGTCATACGATTAGTTTTACGTTTTTTTTTTGATAAAATTTTTAGTCTTAGAGCCGGTGCAATATCATAGGACACCACTCTTTCGAAACCTCAAAAGTACAGGAACACGCCAATTCTTATTGTTCTAGTGTTTCCAAAGGGAATCCCTCAGCGGAACGACACTATCTGAACAAGAAGAAGTGCTGCCGTGAATTTTTATACTTATTTGAATCAAGCTGGTTTCCATCAATGGGGAGTCCGTTGCTTCAACTTTGAAAACAGTGTCAATGTTGTCAGTATTTGTTCACCCATCGAAGGTTCTCCAAGTGAGTCTCGACAAACTTCAGATCGCTCCTCTTGCTGGCACTTCAATTAGAGTCACAAAATCTCTTGTGACCACTAGCTCATTGTAACCCTCGCATGACAAGGTGTGTTACTTGCTAGAGAGGTAGTCTTTCACGCGAAATCCATAGAAGAAAAGAGAACAGTTGGTTCTCTGCCATTCTCCTGTGCTCTAGTAAACTCATTCCAGTGGCGAAAAACTTCAGGTTGTAGG